TTTGGCTTGGCCCTTGGCTCTAGACCCTAAACAATAGCCTGCTTTACAGTTTGGGCCATACTACAACACAGTAAGGTGGAATACAAAGCTGGGCCTTTTCACAATATCCTAATAACCTCCATGAAAAGGCATGCGAAGCTGTGATTTTCCAAGTGGTATCCTAATAAGGAGCCCCTAAACCCTAAACCCTGAATAATGTTGTGTAGAGATTGGGCGCTGAATGGAGGCGTTTGCCCCTGAAGGGTTGCAGGTTCTAGGGTTTAGGGTTTAGTGTTTGTTTAGTGGGTTTGAGGACATTGGGAATTAGGTTTCTGGGGTCTAGGGCTTGTGGGGTGGAGTCTTAGGGTTTAGGAATTTAAGGTTCTGAGCTGGAAGTTCGGGAATGAGGGGCGAGAATCCCACAAAAACACCCATACAATATAGTCCCATATTCCCTACCATAAGCCCTAAACCTTAAATCCTAAGCCCCATTTATTCAAATATATTAAGATTAGAGTCTTTTCGGGCTGAGCGTCTTGAGTGTGGAGCTTATTTTTGGAGAATTGAAGGGTTCTTGTTTCAGTTTTGTGCACGCGTCCTGGCAGATTTTGTTGTGCCCTGGGTTGAGCTTTAGGGCTTAGGGATTAGGATTTGTTTTTGGTTTAGGTTCCGAATGATGTGGAACTGAGACCCAGCCACTCCCCATTTTCCCATAGGCTCCCTCAGCCGCAAAACCCTACAAACCCTTAGCTCCAAGCTCAAAGACCTCAAACCCAAAACCTTGCACTGCTCAAGCCACAAAATCTTTGCAGCTGCATAAGATGACCTACCCAGACCCCAAAAGGATCTAAACATTAGATCCCCTAGAACCATAGGGGGAATTTTTATAAGGATTATGTAGGGGTTATAATGCGTCTATATAGGGGATCTAATTTTTAGATCCTCCCAGGGGTCTGGGTACATCTGGGTTTGGGGGCTACGGATCGGGATTTGGGGACCTGGCTTTGAGGAGAGCCCATCAACATGATATGTGACATTACGAGACTTCTATACCTGAATCCCAAAGATATGTAGAATAGTTGCCTTTTGGGCTGTTTTTAAGGATTTGGGACCATTATTTTACCTACTTTGGGGGTTTAGGTAGTTCTTTAATATCTTGGGCATGACATTTGCATTTGATACACCCCCACTCACGCGTTTTTGTTGTCATCTGGGCATGTTGAAACGAAAACCTAATTTAGGGTTTAGGGTTTGGGCCTTTTTCCTTAAACAAGAATGGGTATACAGGTGCTTGGGAGGTCTACCTAAACCCCCAAAATATGAAAAATAATAGCCCTAAACCCATAATAATAGCCCCAAAGGCCATTATTTTACACACTTTGGGGGGTTTAGGTAGGAACATTAACCTTGCATTGGTTTCAAGCCCTCGCTGATCCACTACCGAAATTCCAAAAACCCCGACACCTGCAGGGCTGAAGTGCGCAATCTAGGGTTTAGGGTTTAGGGCCTAAATCATTTCTTAAAGTATGCTTCTATCCGGTGCAGGGCCAGGGTTCAGGGATCAGGGTAATAGTGGAGAATAAAACGGAAATAAACTGCAAAATGAACAATGGATACTGGGTGTATATAGGGGCTTATAGGGTCACTTTTCGTGATGTTAGTCGTCACTTAGTCCCCTGAAGTAGACTTGAAGTAACTGTGCGGAGCCAAACCCAAATGTAGACCCTGAGTTTAAGGGCCCTAAAAGGGTGACATAGTAATATTGAGGTTATATAGGGGTAATGGAAAAATGGAAGCTACTCTTTAGGGTTTAGATTGGTTTAGGTTTAGGGTTTAGGGGTATGATTAAATAACCACCCTCTTTTTAAGGGCCTTGATATTAGGATCCCTATTATAATCCTTATTAAGGGGAGGGGGTTTATCAATCATGGGGTCTGGGTTAAGTCTGAACCTTGAACCCCAAACCCGAAACCTACCATGTCTGTAAGGCGGTTCAAGAGGGTTAGGTAACCCAATTATCCTCAACTCTCCCAAATCTCCCCGGTACTCCCATAGGCTCCCTATAAGGTTCCCTATAGTACCTACCCCCTTGCACCCCCCGCCACCCCAAGCCTAGAGCTATGTAACTATAGGGTATAGAACTCAGAACCCATAATTCAGGTAACCGGGAGCCCTAGGGAAGGACATGGAACCCTAAACCCTAAACCCTAAGCCCTAAACCCTATCGTAGCCCAAAGCGTGGTTAAGCAAAAGGCATCGTGCGAGTTCACGCGAGCTTTGAACCAGTGCCCCGGCACAGGGTTCATTTAGGGGTTTAGGGTTTAGGGTTCAAAGTTTAGGGGTTTACGGTTTCAGGGTTTAGGGGTTAGGGGTTTAAGGTTTACGGTTTTAGGGTTTAGGTTCACAAAGAGCTCAGTAGGCTCAGTACCACTTAAGCAACTGATTTAAGCTCATAGTCATATAAGACATCCGAACTTGATTTAGGGTATTTTCCTGGGCTAAGTTAATATCAGCAAGGAAGATACCTTGAATCAAATGCGAGAGATTTCACAAATTGCGGCATATTTCCTAAGGTATATTGGCGCTTTGCGTGTAGGGTTTCGGGTCCAGAGGTTTGGGGGTATAGAGGAGGATCCATGGTTCAGTGATAGTATGATAGAACAATGCAGAACCAGTGTGGAAAACAAAACGGAACCTTTGTTCGAGATTTCGTGCTCAGGGTTGGAGTCCAAGTTTTACTGAGGTCGTTTAACATTACATTACGGTACAAGCCGAACATGGTCTCAGTAGTCTTACCAATAAATACATCCCATGGTGCTGGGCGGTCTAAACTTCAAGGCTTAGGGTTGAGGGCTGTTGAAGCCAGATTTAAGCCCTAAGCAACCCCTCCCTGATACACATCATTAAGCTGCTGAAGCCTTACATACAGCTTGACGGGCTGTAAGATGGGGGTTTTGAAGAGCAGCACTATGCGCACTATGCGGATACCTGGAGCAAGTGCCTTCTTAATTAGGGTTTAGGGTTAAGGGTTCAGGGTTTAGGGTTTAGGGCTTGGGCCCTACATCCGAAGCTTCAAGCCATTAATCCTCATATGAGCGACGGCCCTGTATTCTCATGTAGTAACCAAGATTCGGTGATGAAATCATCTTGACACGACCAGGCCCTTGCAAAACCAAAAGACACCAGACAAAAGGCAATACCCAAACATGGAAGATGTATAACCCAGACCCATGATTAATAAACCACCTCCCCTTCATAGGGATTATAATAGGGATCCCAAATGATCCCAATATTATGAGGCCCTTGAAAGGAAGGGGTTCATTAATCAGGGGTCTACATTAGGGGTCCCGTTCAAAAGCTAATATGTGGAGAATCAAGGCATTAGGTGCCGTATTATAATAGGGATCCAAAGAGGGACCATAAATTTGACAACCACCCATATGACAACTGCAGGGTGCTAAAGTCCTATACAACAACAGGCCACCCGCAAAAGATACCTTGGAGGTTTCATGTATCCGTTAAGAATGATTTTTTCTCAGCTGTCCATAGATTCCGAAAAGATACCCAGTTTCCATTTCATGCGCCCACTTGTGTTTGTAGCAATTCTCATGGGGCTTGACGAGGATGCCAGAAGAGTCTTGCTTAGCATTGCAGCGCCCAAGCAGTGCCCCAGCATAGACGGAGACGCTGCGTGCGAGCGAAGATCTTACGCCGGAGGAGACGGTCGATGTCGGCAGCGGCAGCCACCCGAGCCCCGGTGCTCTGGGCAGCATGGACGCAGGCGGGTATCCGAATCAGAGGGAGCGCGCACGTCGCCAGTATGTCTGAAATCGCAGCTGCACTCCACGAGGCCTCGCCGGCTCTCCCCTCAGGTGCCGCTCACACATTTCACCTGCCACATTCCATGTCAGTTCCCGTTAGAATTTCAGATGCTTTACCCTGTAAACCCTGCTGTATATAAGCATATATACATATACATACATGTATGCTTCCTTGTATACCCCCTCACAAAAGGCCCCTACAGAACCTCAAATCCCAAGACTATACCTGGTCCTAGAGAGCCCATTATAAGTTAACTGAAGCACATGTAGCTTTACTGATACAGTAGTGGATCCCTATAACTTCTCAGGGACTGTTCCTCAATGAAGGACTACCCACACCCAAAGCCCAAAACCCTAACCCCCAAACCCTAAACCCTGCACACCAAACCCCCAAACCCTAAAACCCAAGCCCAAAACCCTAAATCCCAAACCCTAAACCCGAAACCCTGCACACGAAAACCTAAACCCTAAACCCTGAACCCTGTTCCATTCCTTAAATACCATTGCCTTGGGCTCGCTGCGCCGTAGGGCCCTAACCTCAGAACTCTCCATTTTCCCAATACCCCTTTTACGGGCCTTAGGGGTTTTAGGGTTTTAAGGGTTTGGGGTTTCCTTGAGGACTTCAGGGTTTTACTCACCCTTAGCTAGCTGGGAATGGAGGAATGGAAAACACAATGGAAACTATTATAATGGGTTATGTAGGGACTACTATAGGGATCTATTCCTTGAATTCCTAGCTAACCAAAGGCTAGTTATATGTAGCCCGTATAACTCATGTGTTGGCCTCTATGTATCCTCAGAGCCTAAATCCGAAACCCTAGACTCTGAAGTATAAACTCCAAACCCTCAACCTCAAAGCCTAAATCCACAAGCTTTAAACGTTGAGCTCTATGTATACCTCTTTTCTAAACCCCAAATTATGCAGTAGCTCCCAATTTGGCCATTCCCCTACATTTCCCTATGTAACCAGGGTTGATACTAGTATGAAGCGACTAGTACCTGCCAACCATATAAACTTCTATAAGATGCCGGTATCCGTTCAATTTTCCAGGTTCTTCTCCATTTGGTTCTTCATTTTAAGGGTAATGCCTCAGACCCCTAAACCCTAAACCCCTAAACCCCCTAAACCCTAGCACCCCCACCCTTCACCCTAAATCTTTGCACCTAAACCCTAGATCCTCAACCGTCTCATGATGCCAGGTATCGAGGCCTCGAGCGCTCTGGGCTGGAGGGACTTCTGAGCGAGGAAAGGGCCTCCGAACACAAAAGCACATCGTTAGGGTGCACGGCTTAAGGATTGAGGTTTAGGGGTTTCGGGACATGTAGGGTTTAGGTTTCTATATAGTTTTCGCCACCTGGACATTATGTTCAAACGTATTGTCACTGTAAAATTATGAAGTAGCCTTAAAGTCTGCCAAAGCTTAAACCCTAAACCCTAAACTCGGAGGGCTCCAGGGCAGATAGAGTTTTCCAATGCCAATGGCAACTTCAGCCTGGGGCTTTTGAGCCGCGCTGACAGCGGGTGGTGTAGGCAGGGTCAAATGAGTAGCATTCCATGTGGGGAAGACTATGGTCCCCAAGGCAGAGTAAGATTATACCCTATTTTGGGGGGTATCGCCTATCAGAAGAGTACCATCTTACTGTGTTCAACGCGAAAAATGAGCTGAGCAGGACATGGGCGCCTTCCATACACGTGGGTTGGGATGGGTTACCTTAAGCCCTAAACCCTAAGGGTGTGGCATGGGCAGCCCAACGCTCAAAAACAAGTTACCGCAACCGGGCAACATCCTACACAAAGCCTCTTTTCATGATTATTACAATAGCAATAATAGTAAAACTAGCTATATGAAATAAAGTCATACTAATCATAGTGATAAAAGTAGTGGTAGTAATAATAGTAGTAACACGGATTGTAGTAATAATTTTGATGACACCAGTGTTGCGAAATGTCTACTTCCCTGGGCTTGGCTTGAACCCTGTATGTCATTGTTTCGGGTGTTGTGTCCTGCATTTGGGTGAGGGCTTGTTTCCTGGCACCCGGCCCCTAAACCCTGAAAACTTGCATATTATTGCTATTTCTACTATTGTTTTTGATACCATTATTAAAACTATTTTTTACTATCAGAATTATTAATACTACTATCTAAACTTTAAAGAGCGGCCCCTAGACTCCCGGCCTTACACCCTGAGCCCTAGGCAATAACATGTGACTGTTCAGGGTTAGGGCGTAGGGCTTAGGGTTTGGTTGTTTAGGGTTGAGGGGGTGCAAGGTGAAGGCTGATGGGCCAGAGCCACCCAACAAAGGTACTGTATCCTTCGACGGAGTATAAAAGGGATGCAGGGGTCACTTGAGGTTGAGGGTGCTCGTTGAGGTAATCTGGGTGTCTGGGTGTAGGGTTCAGTTGAGGATTTGGGGTTTGAGGGTTCTTGGGTTGGGAACTATTGGGTTTCGGGTTGCGGATGTAACCCCTTTCCCCCCTCGTATTCAACTTTCACTTACCGCAACATCTACCGGCTCTTATAGCGAATATCAGAACGAGAGATACAGAGCGCATATCCATCAGGGGCTCGAACAAGGTGGGATGTTGCAAAAAGCCTAAACCCCTAAAACCCTAAACCCTCGAACCCTCAAACCCTTAACCCTACAATGGTGTTCGCAGGATGGAACAAGCAGTTAGAAGAGCTTATGCTCGGCCCTGGTTTGGAGATGATGGTTCATCCCTGTAGAGCCTATAGACCCTCCGAGTATCCCTGACCATAACCAATCCCATGAAATTCTTCCACACAAGTCACAGTAGCCTTTGGGCCCTGTCGTTGAGTCAGTAAGCTGAGTAGGGCGCACATGACCGTACCATATGGTAATCATGACAATGGCCTGATCTCAGTGATGATGGTCAAGGTGCCGATCTCCTACACGGTAACCAACTTTTGCTTGGAGGTAGCGGGTAAATATAACCCAAGTATAACCTGGTATTTCTAACCCAATGATAACCATGTTAATTAGGAGACTCAAAGGTGCTCATTATTGGTTGTAACCGCTGTTTCATCTTGCGACTGGGAATCCCTAAGCTTTATCCGTACTTAGAACTACTTAACGACTGGGCTTATAGCCCTACTTATAGTGCCTGCAAATGGCATTGCAGCTGTTGCCCTAGTTATAACTTTATAGCAAACCCTAGACTCCAATGTTCGTCTGAGGAGGTGTTTGCTTCGTTCGTGCAGTCCGCTGTGCGTGTGAACAAGGCCTGCTCAGGGTCCCAGACACGGTTTTTTACGGTTCAGGGCTTTAGGGTTTGGGGTCCGTAATATTTCCCAAAAGGTCCAAGTACCCAATCAAAATTTGTACTCGCACAATAACCAGGAGTACCCAAATCCCAAGTACTCCGTAATTGGGAGCTTGCATATTTGCACTTTTTTATATTTTGTGTTGCTACAGCCCCCGATATAGCGTGAGATGATACGTTTCTTTCGGTTGTAGCTTTGTAAGATGATTAATCCCTTCAATCCCATTAATATCAACATTCCCAATATCTTACAATGGACCACAATAGGAACATCTAGTAATAGAGAGCGGTGGGTTTTGATATTAGGGGGAGGGAATCATAGACTACAATCTTACCTGATTCAACTGCCAAAAAAGCATCATTCACATGGGGACTACACGTGGGTTGCGGAGGTCCTTCTTCCAAAGCTCTAGGCTCCTAAATAAGGTTCAGATTTTAGGATTAGGGCTTAGGGTTCCGAAGCCCAGAACAGCCAAAGCTTGAGCAGCACCTGTTCAATGCCACGTCCACAAATAGAAGCCCAATACGTAGAAGCCCGAAAATTGCAGTGAGTATGCTCTCGCAAGCTGCTGATGAACCCCAGGCTCCCAAGCAACCCTACACCCAAAACCCTCAACCCTAAATCCCAAACGCTATACCCATTAAAGGTGTAAATCACTTATCGCCATTCTATAACTCCAAACTCTACATGGTAGTCGCCATAATAGGACCCCAATATAAGCCCCATATATTATAGCTCAAAGCTCGAAATTCGAGTGCAGGCCGACGTCGCAGAGCGGATGCTCCGGACGATGCGCCGCAGCGGTCTCGTACCGTCCTTGGAGCCAGAACCTTGGAAAAAATAGGGTCTGGGGCCAAGGGGTTGGGGTTTAGGGTTTAGGGGTTTGGGGCTTTAGGGTTTAGGGGTTGGGGCCAACCTAGACTCAAGTACCCTAAAATAGGGTCTATGTAGGTCCTATTTGTAGATATTTAGGGTCTATAGAGGGTACTTGGGGGGTTTAGGAAGGGGTTGGGGTTTAGGGTTTCATATTCAGGGTTAAGGGCGAAGGCGTTAATTAGGCCTTGAGGTTAAGGGTCCATATAGGATCACCGTTTAATGGCAGTACCTGGACCCCAAAAGTATGTAAACTCATGGCCCAAACCCGCTCAAAATGGTCAACAGGGCTAATATTCTGCATATCGTTGGGGATTGATTACATGTGGTTGTATAAGGTTATAGAGGGACTCTTAAAGCGTCATATAAGGATTACGGAGGGCTATATCCGGATTACATAGGGTTATATAGGGATTAGGGTTCTATAGGGATCATATAGTTTATGTAAGGATTACATAGGGGTATGTGGGGTTTCTAGAGGATCATGTGCGGATTACGCAGGGTTATATAGGGATTGCATAGGTTTATAAAGGACACATATATATATACATATGTATATGTCGTATAGGGATGACATAGAGATTATATGGAGGTGTACAGGTATTACTTTGTCTTAAATGAGGTAATGCAGGGTCTAGGGCAGTTATGACCCCGATCATGAAGAATCAAATGGATAATGACATGGAAATTGGGGTTATATGGTTATATAGTTGTTTCATATAGTTTCCACACTATTAGGGGGACCCCATCACAGACTTCAACGAAATTTATAGTCCTCGTTCTAGGGATTCCCAAAAGGTGCCCCTGGTTTTGGGAACCCTTCCCGTAGGGTCTACGAGACAGCGTTTACAGGCTTGAGAAAACAAGGGTTGGGGAGTGGAGCCTCCCGAAGTGCCAGGCGGCCTTTGGAGATTTCGCGGATTCAAAATCTCGGCTTGAGGTTTGATACTGGAGCGATCCTGCGTGGTTTCTCAAGAAGGACATGAATCTGTTTTTCTCCTCTTAACCTTGAACCCTATATACTACCAAGGACTATTCAGAGACCACTACTGGGATCTACTTTTATTCCCCCCTCGTCCATGTAGGTGTGTAGTATACTTTGTTTGGGAGCACAGAGGTTTGCATCCACTTGCTTTGGTGTGCAAGTATATGTCATGTAGCTACATGGAGCCTGTGGGTTTGGGAGACTACGCTGACAAGGTGACATCTTATCTTGTTGTTGAAGGGTCCTCGAAGTTTAAGGTGGGGAACTGAGAGCTTCTCGAAAATGACCCTGATAAATCGCCAGTTTCCCTAGACCCTAACCCCACTAGGGCTAGCATGGAACCATATACAATGGCGGTGACTGTCTTGGGGTTTCGCGTTAGCTTGGGAAAGCAAGAGTACCATCTTGGTAACGCACAAAACTGATGTCTTAGTTATTGCTGGTCATGGGTTTCAATTTGTATACCAATACAACCCATCAGGAAAATTTGAATCACAAGTTTCACGCGCATCTCACGGGGCATCTCATTGAGAACCAGAAAAGAACAACGAAACGGTCGGTTCACGGGGTGCCGCGGCATTCCGCTCCGATGCTGGAAATAATGACATACCCTCCCAAGCAAGGACTATGTAAGGGTATGTTCGCACACACGTGGAGGCAAGACTGGGATTGCATAGGGGTGTTACACAAAGATGTCGAAAGGACATACCTTCCTCCAAACTCCAGCACATCCCTAAGCAGAGCGACTGCTGTCTCTTTCAAGGCGGGATTTTTCGTGGAGAACCCTAAACCCCTCAACCCTAAACCGGGAGTGGATACTAGGAGTTTCGACCCTAGATCCTAAACCCTATACTAGGGGTTATCAGGAGGATGCTAGGAGTTTAGACTATTGTACATATGAGTTCATGAGATCTGAGTTGTTCGATGGCTTCAGCCGCCAAGGAACCTGAGCGCTAAACCCAAGACCCCATCGGGCACCCCTTTATAGAGGTTTCTAGGGGGTTTCGTATCTAGGGTTTAGGGTTTCAAGTTAAAACCTAAAACTGCGAACCCTGGAAGCGTAACCCCCCAAAAATCCTCGACCCCCAGCCCCAAGAAGGCATGATATAGTTCCCATTTAGCAAGCCTGTCAGCGAGATTCCTAAAACCTAAACCTAGACAACTCTATATGATCCCTATACAGCCCTATATAACTCAAAAGAGATTCCTAAACCCCAAACCCTGCACCCTAAACCTTGATGAAGGTTCTGGCAACATACCATGAAGCTTCTCTCAAGTTCGGAGCTTGGGCTCTACCTGGGGTTTAGAGTTTCGGGTTAGGGGTGTATAGGGTTTAGGGTTAGGGGTTTGGGGTTTAGGGTGTGCAAGCGAGGTCGCGCGCTCGGGCGTGAGCCGCCGCCCCTGGCCGCGCGCTTGCGTTGCTTGTAAGCCCACCCCGTCCACTCACATTACACTCAATTAGGGTTTAACGCTTCCTGCGTGCATGCACGCTGCATGACACCCATGACAAACGCTGCATCAACTGGACGTGCCAGTTTACAGGCTCAGAGAAAGGGTCTGAGTAGCCCCAGCCCTCTTCGGGCTGGAGCAGTGTACAGATTTGGCACAAGCTTCGTTTGATGACGGACTTTTTATGGAGGCTGGAGG